GGATATTCATCTTCCTGCGGGGTCGTTACTGGCATGTCGTTGATTACTGGAAAAGTACTAGACGTTGAAGTCATGTCAAAAGAATGCTGGGAGTGTATTACCTGGAGCAGCAAGAAAGGTTCAGAGGAACTTGAACATTGGTGGGAAGATTATCAACATTGCTCAAACCGGGGTGTCAGACAAAGAAGTGTCGCATGAAAATAGACTATGACCGTATCTCCCATTCCACACTAACGAGCTCCGACAAGCATAAAAATAAAAGAAAAAAGATAAGACAGAGAAAAAAGGCTATATTGACAACCTGTCAGAAGAGGAAGTTACCCAATATGAAGCTGGGGCATTCTGAGCCCTAAACCTGAACTGATTAGTTATACCAAACTTTGCGACTGATTTTCTCAATTTGTCATTTTCGGGGTGTTTTTGAATTAGTTTTTGCGATTTCTGAAAAACTATAAATGGTATTGACCTGAAATTTTCACTGAGTATTCATGTGCCTATTAGTTATGCAAGGAACTAGGATTTTTGAATTTGGACTAACCAAACATAAGTTCTAGACATTTTGGTCAATGAACTTAGGATGTTTTGCTTTACCATTATTCGGGATGCAAAATTTTTATGAATCCATGGCCATATCTAGTTGATTCTAGTTCCTTGCATAGCCCAAGATGTGGTTATAATATCTTAAAAGTTTTAAAACCATACCTATTATATATTTGCCAATATCAAGTTTCTTGCGATGCCTTAATTTGCAATGACGGAAAAGTAGGCTGTAGTAGTAAGGGTGCTACACTAGTGCAATTCAATAAATATGCACCAAATTTTTTTTGGTTAATGTCCTAAGTGTGTTACTTCTGCCCCCCCAAAATAATATCATTCCATATATTCTGTAGCAATGAAACAAGCTATCAAAAATGGTCGATTTTTCCTATCGAGCCACCTTAAGCGTGTACGATTCGTATTTTGGCATATTAAAATGAGTGCTGGCGCCATAATTCATTGCCGTTTCGTTAAAAAGAAATGTCAAATGTAGCCAGCTTACGCGTGTTTAATCAATGACATAGGCCAGAAAACGAAATGCATGTTCACGATTAATCGCAACGTGTACAAAGTGCTGTAAACGTAGCTTAACTTTAACTACGTTTTTATACGACCCGGTATCAAGCGAAATTCCTGACCTCTGCGAAATACAATTTACAATTTACAATTTATGACCAAGCGTAAAGGCCCACATAGGCCGAACGCGATTCGACAACGCGACGCGAATTTTAGCCTTTTTAAAAACAAATAAAACCGTCAACGGATAAAAATTTTACAAGATATGCAGACCAAATAGCTAAAATTGCTTATTTAAGTAGTTCTGAATATTTGAAAAACATACAAATTAAAATAATAAAGGTATAAATGTCATTGAAAATTGAAAATTCGCGTCGCGTTTCCGAATCGCGTCCGGTATATGTTTGGGCCTTAAATTAACGGGTCAGAAATTTCGCGCGTGCAGGCGCGAAATACATGACGCTTGCTAAATTCTATGTCGGCCAAAACTGTTTTTTAGAGCCATATAAAATAATCATGATGTTAATTTCTGATACTTCGTTAAAATGGGTTAAATATTTCAAATCGACATCGCTAAGTTTCAATCATAAACACTTTAAATTTCAAAGCGAATTGTGTGGCCGTGACCGCGAAATACACGACGTTTGCTAAAAACAATCGGTCGAAACGATTTTTAAGTCCATGTGCGATGTTACCAAGTGTTTCTAATATAGACATTGCCAAATCTAAACGGCCAACTCACGAACTCATTGTTGCTGCTTACTAAATAGTGAGAATTGAGAAAGCCAAACGCGAAACGATTTCTGGTGCTTATAGTTATTTCTTGAAACTGGAATGTATTTTATATCTCTAAGTCTAAGAGCGCTTTTCGAGTGACTTTTTCCATATCTGCGATTCAAGCTTTATTAAGTGGTGTTTAATTTTTTTGGTGATGTCATTTTGAAGTGTAACTACTCTAGAAATCTGAAAGATTGCATGCTCGACCACAGTGATAATCGAACAATTAGCTGCTGCCTGCAGCTTTTGTACCACTCAGAGTAAATCGGTAAACACAAATTAAACACCAGATGGTCTGACTGAATTCTCATGATTGGTGTCTGTTTGATCAGTGACTTCATTTATCTTCAACAGGTCGACCATCCACGCAATATTATTCCTCAGATACAGTATATCGAGAATTTCATCGTAAAGGATGGATGACAGGATCAGGGGGAGCAATTAGCATCAAATTCGGGTAAATATCTACAATTGTGAACACTAGGGTGAGGTGGTAATCATTTCTTGCGTAAAACCTCGTAGTTATAGTTACAAATTTCTTGCCTTAACCAGACACTCTAGTTCTACCGTGTGGTGCATGCGCACAAGTACACTACAGGCGCAAAGTCATATTATTTTTGAATATTAAATAGTTAGTCCTCAAGGGACTAAACCACTGAGCTCTACTATATATATCTGGAGACCGTGCTCCCATATCTCGTCAAACAAAAAAGTGTCCGCAAAAACATGGCGGATTTCGAGCTCCGCGTCCACTATTTTCGGGCGATTTACCACTGACCACATAATATTTTTGAAAGCCACCTGTTTTCGCACCCCCCTGGATGCAAAAAGTATACACTGTGTAATTATTAAACTATCAAGTTTCACAACTTTATATTTTGTCAACATGCCGCGTTTGCTCGGTTTATGGTTGTCACAACTCCTTTGACAAAGACGGACTGTATTCACACTGGTAAGGAAATATTATTTTGTGCTTAGATATCATTCGAGAAGTTTTTTCTGCAAATGACAATGTAAAGCAAACGGTAGTTTATGTTTTGTTCACATTCATGTGTCACCAGCTTTTCTCGACTATGGCTTCTTTTCTGAGGTTTTTGCATGCAGTTTGTTTCATTCAAATATTATATTTCCATTGTTCCTTGTGATGTTCTCGTGTGCGTTTTTCCTACCTACTGTACAGTGTATTTTATAGGCCTGTTTGTATTTATGAAAGCATATTGTTATTGAATTTTTTCCCTTCACATATTTAAGCATTCCTGATGCAAAGAAGCATCCAGAATTGTACAGCATATGGATTGAGTATATGAATAAACATGCGCCAGTGAAGTCTGTTCCTGTGAAAAGTAGTCGTTTGTGTTCAGATCACTTTAGTGCTGATATGTATGAGATAAAGGGCAAAAGCCAGAAATTAGTATTGAGACCGGATGCTAATTAATACCAACAATAGTTACACAACGGTTTGCTCAGGTCATTTGTGCGAGTTAAAGTGTTATATGTAACAGTGTGCCTGATTTACATTCTTTGCTAAGGGACAAGTCATTATTAATGCCGGGTAGGGGGCTGGCGGAAATTTTTATGAATAGCAAAAATTTTTCATGACCCCTTATTTTTCTAACAAACTATCCCCCCCCCCTTATTGAGGCAACATATTTCATAGCCCCCCCCCTCCACCCCAATTCTGAATTCAATTACTCTAAGTCAGTTTCGTAACCATTTTTCCTGCCCTCATACTCGGTTTACTTGCAGATGTAAAGAATATTGTAAATATTGAAAATAAAGAATATTGTAAATATTGAAAATGATAGCCAAGTAGATAATTCAGACTTTATACCTGAAAAGTTTTTGATCCTCAAACAAAAAACCCACACATCAGACCTACTTTTACTAATTGAAAAAAATATTTTTGTGTCTGGTGGGAGCATTACTGTATTATTATTGAAGAGATGGCAGAAGAGACTGACTGTCAACAACATGCAGAAACAGAACATGCGAAAGAGGTCCACTGTGTTAAAAGCAGGACAACAACTGTCAATTGAATCTTGCATTTGCAAATGCAGTGCATGACCCTTTAGACAAATTCTTTGGTGATGATGAGGATGACAATTTCCATATACAGTGCCTAGAACACAACTTTTAGGTTCAATATATTGGGCATTACTGTTCAATGTATGTATACTGTGTATATCCATCACTCTTTTGATATTGCATGTTACAAACTATTCCAAAGATTTTATTTTTTGCCCCCCCCCTTTATGTTCAAAATATTTTCTCCCCCCCCCTTCACTGGTCAAAAATTTTTTGTGGCCTCTTTATATTAAATTTTTTTGTTACATTTACTAGGAATGGTATGCTGGATATGTTTTAAAAGAGGGCATACAAAAATTGTGTGCCCAAATACAGCAAAAACCCACTCAGACAGTTGTTCAAGAACAACATAATTGGCACAATTGCCATGATATTAAATTCATTAAGTAACTTTGTGTATGTTATAATGTGTGAATGTTGTGTGAGTGTTGTTTGTTAATTTTAATTTATTTGTTAGGCCATTAATAAATATTCTTGGTTTGAAAAATTTTTTTTTGGGGGGGGGATGTCCCCACTGCTGGTGCCACCACTGGAAATATCAGCTAATTATAGCCAGGCATAGCTTCAATAAAATATATTGAAGTAAATATGACATCAAATATCTCTTTTATTAAAAGCGATAGCTATGTGCGTGTTTCACTTGTATAATTTGGGACAACCCGAAAATACCCTTATGGAATTAACAAAATAAAACATGGGTATGAGACCAAGAATACTTATTGATGGCCTGTAATAGTAATATAATAATATTGTATATATGTTAAATTAAACTTTTTAAATGTTGAATAAATCTAATTTGTAATTAAAATTAATAATGCACATAAGAATATGTTTAATAAAATAATATATAATTATTGTTTGGTGTGCTAGATCCATAATTAACTAATCCTTTGCCTGGTCAAACAATATGATTCTATTGCCATGAATTGCCATCGAATATAACAATGATTCCAGTGACAAACGTAGAGCCATATACATTTGGGTATTTATTAGTGCAGATTTACTTTCCCCATAATGTGCACAGAGTACATTGTGAGTAGACATGATCACCAATGTGCAGTTTCCATAATCTGAAAAATACAAACAGCAGTAAATATTTAGATGATATATGCATAAACCGACATAAGTTTTGTTTCAACAAAACATGGCTGTGTTTACAAATTTATACATTAAAATTATATGTATAGTAGAAATGCAAGAGGAACAACATACTTTTTATACAATTTGAAAGAGAATTATGCACATAGCAACGGCCTGCCCGGGGGGTACACCCCGGGACAACTGGGGGGAAACGAGGGGGAATTTGGTATTTTATCTGTGTGTTCTGCCTGTGAACCCCGGGGAAATTAGGGAGTGGTCATTATTTATGGGGAGGGGGGTGTTGGGAAATGGGAAAAATAAGGATTGAAAACTTTTTTGACCCCCCCCCCACTCCAGAACTGAAGGCAAACTTTTTGTGCCTCCCCCCTCATAAAAGTAGAAACTTTTCTGACCCCCACCCCCCAGTGTGGATTGAAAAATTAATAGCAATGAAACAGGTGTGCATTGCATGCAAAGTTAGATATTAGGACAATCTGTTTAATGTAGCTCATGATGTTTTACCCTGGTGAAAATGATTCGACCATATGTGATTAAAAATATATATTATGTGTTACTACTTTGCAATGCAACATTTGTCCTACCATAACCCTAACCCATGACCCGTCTTCATACAGCAAAATGATTTGAACACAGGATTTTTATAAGAACTTGTCTGGGCACCAACCACGGTAGTGCCTCGCAATCATGGGAGTTTGGCCCACTAAGTTTAACAAGCTTGCTACCCCCTGAGTGACCCAGTTGTGGTATTTACATAAACATACCATGCAAATACACTTAACTGATCAGATTCGGTCTACCAATGCACAATGTAACACTGTATATCCAAAAATCTGTTTCAGAAAATGCTCACATTTCAGTTCTAGGGGTGGAAAAATACAAAAAATTTTCTGGGGGAGAATCCCCGGCCCCCCTACTAGTACATACGATACCACACCAAGCTTTTTGTCACCAACAACCATCTGTCATCTCTCCACACTCAATATAGTATGGTCCCTTTTTGTAGATGCCCACCCCTGAGCAGGGAAATTTTGAAAATTTTGAGTATCTAGATCGATGGAAATAGCATTTTCAGAGTCGTCTTTTTTGCTATTTGTGATCATAGAAATCAGAACTCTAGGGGAGGGGGAATTAATGCATTAGAATCATGTTTTTGCAAAGTCCCGGGGGTGTACCCCCAGGGCAGGCCATTGATATGTGCATTATATACAAGTAGTAATCGAGTTGAAATATTATATAATAGTAATAAATTATAGTATATTTCAATAAATGAATGTAATGGTACAGTACAAGTGTTTCATTAAAATTTTGAAAAATGCCTCACCTGTAGTGCTTTTCAGCTTTTGTTGTTTATTTATTAACATATGGAAACAGAATCACCATAGTCCTCGAAATTTCAAAAGTTTGTTTCCCATCATGACAATTATTTCAATTTCTCGTTAATTTAGTAATTTAATTATTACTCATTTTCTACGGCTCCACACAAAATACTGTAGGTCTGCACCTACCGATACTGCAAAAGCATACATGCGACATGGGCAAAAATACCACCATTCGTTCAGCTCATTTATATTATCTGTTTGGATCATCATTTATACATTTCACAGCAGAAATTGTGGAGATAGTAGCTCGAATGAATTAAAGCTCCAGCTTGAACATGATAGTAGTTGGTAAAGTTCAGAAGAAACCTTTTACACCTATATGTAACTAATATTTACTAATTTCAAATCTTCTCCAATGTACTCCTTTTTTAAAAATTATAAAGATCAGTGGCTCTCTGGTCAGGGGGGAGTGGGAAATGTCGCCCGCACGCATTTGAGCTGTGGTCAGTTAACGTACCATGAGAATAGTGGACGTGGAGCTCGAAATCCGCCATGTTTTTGCGGACACTTTTCATTTGCGAGCACGGTCTCCAGATATATATAGTAGAGCTCAGTGGACTAAACTCGAACTGATTTTATTATTGGTTTTGGTTAATGACTTGAGAGTAAATTCACCTGATAGTAGCATGTGAAAATTTGTGGACGATGTCTCGACTTCTGAACACCTTACTGACCTGGAATGCTACTTCTATTACTCAATCGACCCTTAATTCTATTCATTTATGAGCTTCCAACAACTGGATGAAGCTGAATGCTAAAAAGTGTAAAGAACTCCGAGTCTATTACAGTATCTCAAAGAAACCACTCAGCTTGTACTCTTAAGCCAGTTTTCCGCTTAAAGTGTACCGTACCGAAGCGTATCAAAAACATTTTTATATTTCAAAATTGATGGAATGTTGATTGGTTAATAC